GTTGTTTGGCGGGCCCAGGCTGGATTTGAACCCGCCACCTTAGGTGTATGTGGCTGGCGCCTTAGCCACTTGAGCCACGGGTGCTGAGCCCATTTCCTTTCTTTCTTCACTCATTATCACACGTCTGTTGAGTTCTCTCTCTGTATCAAGCACTGTTGTACGTGGTAAACCAGTATCTGACAAGGCTGAGCCTGTTTTGATGACCTTTGAAATATCAGCATGAGGGGTATGAAACCACATGATGCCGACCCCATGCTCTGGGCTGCAATATCAGGAATACAGAATGAGGCTCGGTGCCTATAGCTCAGCGGCTAGGGAGCTAGCCACATACCCTGGACCTGGTGGGTTCGAATCCAGCCTGGGCTTGCCAAATAACAGTAACAACTACAGCCAAAAAATATCTGGGTATTGTGGTAGGCGCCTGCACCTATAATCCCAGCTACTTGTGAAGCTGAGACAAGAGAATCACTTAAGCCTAAGAATTTGAGGTTGCTGTGAGCTGTAACCCCATAGTACTCTACCCAGGGTGACAGCTTGAGACTCTCTCAAAAAAAAAGAAAAATTGTTTGCTGGAGGGATGAGATGAAGAAGTGGATTGCGGCAGAAAGAAGATAAATCTATGCTTACAAGGGTCAGTTCTCACATAACGGCAAAGGTTTGTACACGTAAACACCTAAACACAGAAGATAAATTTTTCACTTCCAGATAATCTTACGGGCTAACTGTTGGCCAAATGGTCCCTACAACTTATACACAAAGTTATCGAGTCATCTTTTGGAGAGCTAGACGGTCTCAGGAGACAAATGTAGGTACCAGAAGCCAAAAATAAGAAATAAGAATTGAACCAACTCTCAGAGTTGTCTGGAGCTCAGGAAATTTCACCCCCAATTATGACCCCTTGTTATAAAGAGTGATTTGAGGCTCAGCGCCTGTGGCTCAAGTGGCTAAGGCGCCAGCCACGTACACCCAAGGTGGTGGGTTCGAATCCAGCCTGGGCCTGCCAAACAACAATGACGGCTGCAACCAAAAAATACCCGGGCGTTGTGGCGGGCGCCTGTGGTCCCAGCTACTTGGGAGGCTGAGGCAGGAGACTCGCTTGAGCCCAGGAGTTGGAGGTTGCTGTGAGCTGAAATGCCATGGCACTCTACCCAGGGGGACAGCTTGAGGCTCTGTCTCAAAAAAAAAAAATAGTGATTTGAATGAAAGGTCC